AAAAACAAATATCTTAAACTAAGTTAGAGATTATATTACTAAGCGTGGGTTTCTGAAACCAAAATCACCAATTTAAACATATATTTATATCGCTGTTTCGCCAGTAGTGACAGGGATGACAATATGTTTTATATAGATATTTATATCTCAGAAACCAACGGTAAATCATTCATTACTTCAGTCTCCAAACTGAGGAATGTTCAATATTAAATCTTATCACATGGATTAAGACAGATCTACGACACGTCTCTTCGGGCAGCTTCGTCAAACTAGCCCTGCTTACACCTCTATGGTAACAAGGATTGATAGATGTATATTAACAGGTGAATGTTAGATGAATAACCTTTTATGAATGGAATAGTCTAAACAAGCTATTTATTTCCATCAATGTTTGAAATTATAAAGACTAGAACAATTTAGGAACTTAATTTAACTCAAAGGACAATTCAAATTAAAACAGCTCTAGCTACAGATGTGATCTTAAACCAGACTTGTGCTTTTAAATGCGATAGAAATTTGCCCTAGTTGGTTATATTTTCGACTTATGATACTAAGTCAGTGGCAAAGAATCATAGTTTTTTGCTTTAATTTCGTTTATAGTAGAAAAGTAACTTTATTAAGAAGTTGAAGATTCCTCATTTTCTGAAGTATTAGGACAAATAACTTCAACACAGAAATCGACGTATTTCTCGACGTGGTTGTGGTTCTCTACGCGTATGAAGTTGTGCGCCTGCTTGAGGCCGAGGTAGAAGCAGTCCTGGCGCGAGATGGCCAGCGTCATGTTCTCCAAGTCGCTGTGCGTCTCCCTGCAGTACACTATTTTTCGCTCGTGACGACCCTCCACCGTTACCTGCAACAAAAAACACAATATTCCTAATTCGATACTTCTAGAATGGATTGGTAATAGTACAAATGGGAAGTTTTCATATGGTAACATTAATTGATAGAATAAAATGTGCTGTAAATAATCGAGCTTTCTATCAAACTGTATATGCTTGTCAAACTATTTGATATGTATATGGCTTAATCAAACATGTTGAACCATTTACCGAACGACCTATGAGACTTAATAATTACTTTGGCGATGGATATTCAAGTAGGAAAACCATAATCTGACTGTTTAGGGTTACCATATTATAGACGTTAAAGAGATATGTCGTATTGTACATGCCTGGTATGTGAAGTTGGAGGCGTTGCACTTGGGGCCGACGTATGTGACGTGCACGAGCAGCCCGCAGCCGCGCGTGTCCACGTCCACTCGCAGCTGGAACAGCTCCCCGTCCGCGCACACCAGCCACAGCTCGTGCGTCTCGGTGTTCGTCTTCACCGAGAAACGCTGCCTTTTGCCGATCTTCATCATTGTAGTGTGCTTGTACTACAACAAACAGTGTTTACTTTTTAACAAATATAACTATCATCAGATTCACTCCAAATATATTGGTACAATGTCTGTTAATACTGCGAGTAATTTGGTGATGTGCAATAATGACCTTGAAACGTTTAATGTTTGGAAGACGATCAAATATGAAGGAACAAAACATAGAATATCCGCTAAAGTTTTATTTAAAAGGAGTCGTGGAATATCGTAATGTAGCAGCAGTTGTGTATCATACCCGCATATGCGTGTAGAGATCCTTGAGCGGCAGCAGCGGGCGGTCTGCGCAGTCCGGGGCGAAGCAGGCATAGCGGCGCGCGGCGCAGTTGGCCTCGTGCGCCTCGCGCCTGCGCAGTCGCGGTCCGCGCCCGCATCCGTGCCGACACGGGTAGTGCAGCAGCTCCGCCACCTGCACCACACATCACCAGTAAACACAATCATAACTAACCATCGATAGATACGTCAACAAATCCAGATATTAAAACGATACAGTTTATTCAAACGAAAGTCATCACTAAAAATATGAAAAGACTAAAGAAAAGCGATTGCAAATTTTTTATTTTTAGCAGTACCAACATTTAAAAAGTCTGTTTTTTTTTCAAATAAATCCAAAGTATTCAACTGATTTTAAGTAGTAAAAAAACTTTTAACAGCTGATAAAATTGGTTTTGTTAACTAAGCGATGCTGAGTTACGCAATACGTACCCCTTCCATGGCGCGGTTCCTGACGGAGGAGAATGAGATGCGGCAGACTGGGCAGGCGGTGAGACGCGCGCGGCAGCGGCTGCAGACGAGGTGGCCGCGCCGGCACTGCGACATCGGCGGCTCCATCCACTCCAGGCACACCGGGCACTCCAACAGCCGCAGCAGGCACTTGCACACAACGACAATACTCACGCCTCCGACACACAGGGGTATGCACATATCACATTTCTGGAGCTTTGTCTCCACACGGTACTTGTAAGGCTTTGTGCGACACAGAAGCCTAAATCTCTTTCCAACGTCTTCCAATATCAAAGGATTACTTGCACGAATTTTAAACGTATATAAAAAAATTAAATCTTGTGGTTATTGGAATAAAGTTTTAAAAATTAAAATTTATTCTAACACTTCAAATCATCCGAATCTCATAGAACAGTGGAAATAGAAAATGTAAATACTAACCTGATTGAACTCCTGTACTGTGTACGTTATGTAGTTACCTTCTTGGCCTGTAATAAAAAATGTTTTTATTGAATATGGTAAATATTATCTCTATAAAAACTTGATAGAATTTTCTTACTCTCCCTTCTTCTTTTCCGTGCCGGCGTATTCTCTGCGACCTGCGTCTGCACCGAGCGCTGGATCGGCTGTCAATATTTGTGGTTAGTTATAAAATATTTTAAAGGCAATAGTAAACTGTATCTGTATTCATTTTAGTGTGACAATACATACATTGACCGGGGCAGCTTGTGTTTCGTTGTTGGCGCTAGGGGGCGGCTGCGGACGCTCCTCATCACCCACGTCGATCTCCTCCTCCACCTCTGCCTCCACCTCCGGCTCTCCTTCTGCCTCTCCTTCTCCTTCCCCCTCCCCCTCCCACACCTCTCTCGCCTCCCTCCTCTCCTGCTTCATTTGCGACCCCAAAACATTGTCTTCTGCAAGCGCAAAGTAATGAATAGAATACAAATTGTCGTATTAATATTATTGTCAGTATGTTTAACAACTTACCATCGACATTTTCCGTCTCCACATTATCAGTGTCATTTTCAGCATTCATCGATGTGTCCATTTCTTGCGGCTCGACATCTTAAAAAAATAATTCTGATTTCAATATGTTTTTTTATTGATTTCTTTGGAATATGTAACATAGTCTGTAGACTCACCGATTACAAAATCCGTATACAATTTAAAATTATCTATGTACTTGTCATCTAGTTTAGTGGCGCTTGTGATAAAAAATAAATTATAAGTACCATTATCAGATTGATCTGCAACCATAGAGAACAGTCTCCTTTGTGTCATCGGTGGTGTGGACTGCGAGCTGGTGGACGGCTGGGGTTCCTCCAGCATGCGGGCGCGCTCCAGCATCGCCGGTATTACTGTGTACAAGCAAACTCTGTTCATACTAGTAATGTCATGACATAATATATGTAGAAATAGTCCCTCGCAACTTAATAATAAATGTAAATAAAAAAAAATAAAACATACGATAGATTTTTCAGTTAACATGTTAGCTTTGTATAAGTTCAATACTTTTTAAGTTCCAAGCGGTCGGCCTACGTCAACGAGGAATAATTTAAAAAAAAATGCCTATAATATGCCTGCAGGCATCAGCCACCATCCATCAAAGTCCTGTCAAAAGTAGGCCAGTCATTTTAGAATACTACCCGGAACAAATGTGTCCTTGTAGACATACACATACACGGAATAATTATTTTTAAATTTGGTTTTTTATTTTGATTATGCGCAACGCAAATACATAGTGGTTCACGAAATATGAATTTTTTCGGTATTATATACAAACACGCCAATTTTATTAATTGTATAGATTCTGTATCAAAGTAATAAGCAAGTAACATAAACAAATAAACATACTGTTTGACGCAGAAAGTGTGGGCACAAGTACCCTTGGTGCCTCGGACCTGCCTGCTCCTTCAATATTAGCCAGGACATTTGATGTCGAGGGTACGCTTCTATCTGCTGAAAAAAACAACCTTACATATACCAAATACCCTAAGAATGTATTGCAAATGACGACACATTTTGTTATCTACTTTTCAAATTAAAAAAGGAGGTTAACAAAATGTGTCATAACAAGAGACACGGTAGTCAAAAACCACAGTGACATAGTTTCATAGATATTACTTACCATTACGAGAGCTCATACTACGCTTCACTTTCTGGATGGAGAGGATCTTCCGCAAGTCAACTTCTTTACAATTCCTAGGACTGCATTCATCATAAATTTCAGATGGCCGATCGTAATAACATTCTCTAAAACAATAGTCATTTAATTTCCAACCCCAATAAGTAGGCTTCTTCTAATAGAAGTGGAATTGACTGCATTTGGCTACTGTTATAAAAAATGTTGTGTATTATTCATAGTCATGCTGGTTTTGAAACAGGACTTCAAACTTAAGAAACATTTTCTTTTAAGACAACAAAAGAAAAACAATCTAATTCTCCTTACTTTATTTGATAAAGTGTCCTATGTGTCCAAAAAATTTTGATACATTGGATTTCATTGTTTTATAGTTATTGCATAGAATAGTCAGTTTGACGGACAGTTGAAAATTCTGTGAATACTCCTTTTACAAATCTCAAAAAATGAAAAAAAAAAGTTAAATAATATTGAATACTTACAATACAGATCCACGTGGAGGTGCTCTGACAGGGCTGTTTAGCATCTTAAAGAACTGCGCCCTCTCTAATTTTGTGGCCGCTCTTTGACTCAGCGTACATGGTGAATTGGCCACTCCTAAAATGAAGTTCAATATTTAGTTTAAATACAAAACATTATAACAAATGTAACTCAACATCTATTTAGAAAGTAGATCAGTTTTAAACATTTAAACAGGTCAACCACATAACAATGTATGTTTGAATACAGTATCTGGTATAATCATTCTACTGAGCTAGTAATTACAAGTAGAAAATCTATGTTTTACATACAAACATATAATACATATTTACCTAAATCTTCATTATTTGCGTTTGCAATTTCTGCATGTAGGTTAGGATCAGTATTTGGTCTATGAAAACCAGAACTTTCTGTTTGAGAATCGCTATCATCATCATCTAAAAATAAAAAGTTTCTTTCTTATAAATTGAAATATATTGAATGAATAAGAAAATTATGGTATAGGTAAAAATGAATAACGACATACAAAAGTTAGCTGGTATTGTCTTACTTAGTGGTGATTTTATATTCTGTTTAATAATTATTATACATAATGGAAAAATTAAGCGAATTTAGATTAGTAGTGCGTAGTTCCGTACGTGATTCGAAATTGTGCCCTTACTAGATCCTATGTACTGCTAGATTTAAAAAAACAGCAGAAATCGAAACTACTTGGTATTAAATATTAACCCGGATTAAATATATTTTAGGAATTTTTAACTCGACCAGTTTGCAATTTTTAAGACTTTTATGATAAGTAAAACAAAAATTTATCATGTAATTTCTTACCCGAACTCCAAAGAAATCTTCTAACGCCTAAAGATTTTTTGATATTCTCCTTTCTATTGCTCATTTTATGCAAACTCTAAGATAAATAAACAGATAATCAGACGAATTATTATTTGATTATTATTATAAAAAACTCAATGACATTGACATTTCAGGTAGGTATCAGTCAAAGACTGTGGTCAGAGAGCTTTAAAAAAATAAGTGACACTAATTGCCATTTGAGCATTTACTTGTTAGGCATATTCATTATCATCAGCTTACTGTAGGTCCCCACTGAAGGCTTGGAAACTACCCGAGTTCAGGGGTGACGACATATTTTTAAAAGGCCTTATCACTTTTCGTGAATCCTTATGATAGTAAACAAAGAGTATATAAAATATGGTAGTAAACTTAAATATAACTTTATAACTTATCATACTCTTTGAATTACACTCTTCTCCAAAGAATATTTCCAAATAAGATATGACCTAACGGTCTATGTTACCAGCAAAGAGTATATAAAAAATAATGGTTACCAGGTCATAAAAAAATCAATTGTCAATGTCACCTTATATGCGGCGAAACGAGCGAGATATAAAATGATTAAAAGATTGTTGGAAAAGTGAAAAGTTTGAAATTTACGAAAACATTTTTATTGAGTACCTATTTTCGGGTACATTACTCAAATTATAGCTTCAAGTCGACAAAGCAAAGTAGCGGTAGGACAATTAGTACCATCATTAATTCATAGTATCTTTGTTTGAATATCTAAAATATAACCGCCGCTGTCGGTTTTCGCATTATATATACGCGTTACGTCTTTTATATTCGTATAGCACAGTATTGAGTATTAAAAACATAATCTTTGTCTTCCTCCATTTTTTCCGTATTCTTCAGTGTTATGGTTGTGTATTAAATTGCATTGTGTATGTTGTAGGATATCACGGTTATTCATTGATTATGCTATATTGATACGACGTAGATAAAAATAAAAACAAAATGACAGATTTGCCGTATAGTGTTGAATACGCAAAAACTTCTAGAGCATCGTGCAAAGTCTGCAAGAATGCTATTGATCAGGGAACTTTACGAATTGCTTTGATGGTGCAGGTTAGTATACTATGAGTATAATATACTATCAATGTAATATTAATGCTAATACACAACATTTCTTTAACTAATTCTTACATGTAAATAAGTATAGAGTCTTGTTAAATTCCAGCTATGGCCGTTTTGGTCATGGTACTTTATCTACATGTAATAATGAAATTCTTTGGTTTAACTTTCAAACTTCAAGTATAGACGTTCATTATTATTATTTGGACTTAATAAATTTAGTTATAAGAACATTTAATGTGACATAATATAATAAACTATATTTAAGGCCTTTTAACTATAGTCATGCAATGCAGTTTCCTTATTTCCAGTCACCATTTTTTGATGGGAAACAACCTAATTGGCATCATTTGGACTGTTTGTTTTCAAAGAAACCCCCTACAGCAATAAGTGAGATTGCAAACTTTAACAAAATCAAACATGAAGATCAAGAGAAAATCAAGAAGAAGATTAGTGGTATCTCTTTTGTTTGTTTAAATTGTCTTATTGTTTCATCAAAAGACATAGTAAGCTATTTTAGTCACTAAAATTAGAATCAAACCAAGAAATGCTAGTCTCTTTGTCTTGGTAATCTTCGATATATATAAAAATCAATTGCTGTATGTTAGTCTCGCTAAAACTTGTGAATGGCTGAACGAATTTATCTTATTTTGGTCTTGAAATGTTTGTGGAGGTCTGGGGAAGGTTTAAAAGGTGAGAAAAATTAGTTTTTTTTTAAATTATGGCGGACAGTCGCGGGCGACAGCTAGCTAATAATAAAACTTCTCAGTCATTTATTTTTGATTAACTGAGAGGAACAGTAACACTTGGAATATCTCTTTATCTTTAAATTGAATTTAATTTGAAGAGATACATATTTGTTATTTGTATTCATCCTGGAAGTAAAAGTAAATTCAAGTTAAATTGTTTTAAAATTAACTATTCTTCATTGGTTAAAATATACATTTTAGGTGAAGACAAGGGTACTAAAAGAGGTAAAAACAAAAAAAATGGAGCCATGCCATATACTGTAGAATATTCCAAATCAAGTAGAGCCACTTGTAGACACTGTGAAATTAAAATATGTAAGGTGAGATCTTTCAAATTTTGTTATTTCTTGTTATGTTTTTTTTTTGTAAATGTGAGAAATTCTTATAGTAAAAAGTGTTGGGATAAACAAAGATATCCAATTTTTGGACAAAAAAATATTTGTTTATGAGATGACAATGTCAGCTGATAATTTACAAAAATTAATGTTGATTTTTAGGATGAAATCAGAGTTGCCAAAATTGATTATGATCCAAAATATGGAGATCATCCATTGTGGCACCATGTTAAATGTTTTGCTGAAAAAAAGGTTGAATTACATTTTCTTGGTGGTGGAGAAGAACTGCCTGGTTTTAAATCACTCGAAAAAGAGGATCAAGATATTGTTAAACAAGAAATCAGGTGTGTAATTTTATTCATAAATTTAAACATTTAGAAAATATAAATAAATCAATTTTTATCATTTGACTAAGAACCTGTAGATTGAAGCCTGCCATATAAATTAATATACTTTATTATATCTGTTATAAAAATTAAAAAATAACTATTAAACTCAAATATAATGTTTAACTATAATATTCATGTTCTATTAAAGGAGTTCTGAAGGTGAGGAAGTGCCAATAAAGAAGATAAAAAAAGAACCCAAAGAAGAAGAGGATGTGAAAGCAGAAGCTGAGCTTAAGAAGCAGCTTACGAAACAGAGCAAGCTGTATGACAAGTCAAAGGATGCATTGAGTCAGTTTACTAAAAATGAACTGCATGAACTCCTTCAAGCTAATGATCAAGATGTACTCACAGGCCGAGATGAGGTATAAATGAATGTTGATAAAGTAAAAACAATTCAATAAGATATTGGGTAACCATAAATCGTGATTCTTTGCTGATTGATATATGCCTGGCCTTTTAAACCATGCTATGTTGGTTGCAAAGAATATTGTGATTTGCAACTGAATGATTAATATCATTACAATTGGATTTGTCTGTATTTATAAAGTAGTATGGTATACATTTTTTGGACAAAATTAATGTACACTTCCAGTGCCTGAACCATTTAGCTGACTGCATGGCGTTTGGTGTACCTGAGCCATGCCCTGAATGTAAGCAGGGCCAGTTAGTTCTCGACACTTTCTACTACAAATGTACAGGTAATTATTATATACTGAAAACTATGTATAATTGTTCAAAATAACATAAAAACTGACTTGATTTAGTAAATTGGTTTTGATATTTTTTCAGGAAACATGAATGAGTGGACGAAATGCATGTACAAATCAAAGGATCCAAAGAAAAAGAAAATGGTGGTACCATCAGAGTACAAAAAACATTCCGCTTTCGCAAAATACAAGCCTAAAGTGACAACACGTTTATTTGAAAGTGAACCTCCCCCTCCTCCTACAATAGTTAAAAAGGAAGAGCCAATGGAGTTAGTGTTACTCTTTAATAACTTTATATCTTAACATTTTTATATCTATACTTTTATCTTATCTTGTGTCTGTACATGTATCTGTTACTACGCTGCTATAACTATTTAAAATATGTATAGCTTAAATAAATTCATATTTTTATAATTTCCGCAGCGAGTCGAAACCAAAACCAATTGCTCCTTTGAAAAATCTTCAATTTTTCCTGTTGGGTAAATTCAAATCATCTAAAGAAGAAGTCAAGAACCGTATATTGAAGCTTGGAGGTCTCGTTGTGTCTAAGATAACAGACACCACAGCGGCTGCTGTATCCTCTAAAAATGAAGTAAAGAAAATGTCAGCAAAAATGGAGGAACTACGCGAAAAAGATATTGAGGTAAAATATCTGAGGACATCCTCTTTGAATGCTTTAATATTTTCCTATATAAGTATGTAGAACAACCATATCCATGTCTGTTGGTATAATATACTAATACTACAAAAACAGAATTACAGTCAAACCTCTAAAGTCTGATCCCAACGGACGACTTCCATTAGCGAGAAACCCGGGTTAGAGATATCACGATGCCTTGGATACTCGCTAATCCAGGTTCAACTGTATTTATTCATATTATGATTCTTATGATTTTATTCAATTTAAAAGCAATAAAATAGGGTTTCTACCAGTGTATTACTTCGTTTTATTATTTACAGGTAGTTGAAGAAACATTCCTTGATTTGATTGACCCTAAAGAAGGTACAATAGCAGACACTCTGCGACTTATAAGAGAGAATAATATTGCCGATTGGGGAACCGACGTAAGTTTTTTCCTCCTATTAAAACCTTGCTCGTAAAAATGCTATTTTTGTTATATTATTTCTTTTTACAGTAAAATTCTCGTAAACAATAATATGTAAAAGAATCTTGTGAATTTGCAGTGGTGTTTTTTTTTCTTTTTTTTTTAATTATTCGTACTTTTATATTAAAACAGCCAAGTAAGCGTATACCGCAAGATGTACTTGATGGAAAGTCAATACAAAAATCAGGCAGTCAATATGTTAAGTCTAAATCTGGAATCACCAAACTGAAGGTCAAAGGTACTTAGGAATCAACTTTCTCTTTGTCTTTTTTCTCTTTTATTATTTTTTGACAGATGTGAGACATGTTTTATCCACAATACAATTCTATTTACTTCCCCAGTATTTATTGGATCATCTTTAGACACAAGCACAGACTGACCAACATATAACCAAACCTGGTTAATAACATAATCAATAAAAATGTCTACATATTAAGTTATTAACTTGCAAAACTCACAGCAATCTAACTGGCCAAATTATTTACAAACACATCATTTAAAAATTATTTCAGGTGGTACCGCTGTTGACCCCGACTCTGGCTTGGAAGACGAAGCCCATGTGTTCAAAGACAGAACTGGCACTAAGTACACCGTTGTACTCAGCAAGACTGACGTTGTTGAACAGAAGAATTCATATTACAAATTACAAATCCTTGAAGCTGATAATAAGAAAAAGTATGTATTTTTTAATTCACCAACATTGGATTTACTTGGGAAAACTATAACAAATAAAGTCTGCATAGATTTCTAGTACTAATCAATCCTCCCTTAGAATCCTTTTAACAACTA